GAGGAGCGGGTGCTGCCCGGCAGTGACCACATCTACCACCAGGCCCTGCCCGGCTATGGCAGAGAGTCGGCCGGGCCCTACCCGCGGGGTGGCTCCCTGGACCCCTCCCACTCCAGCGGGCGCGGCTCAGCCGAGGCGGCCGAGGATGATGAGATCCGGATGATTAACGAATACCCACGTGTGGCCAGCATCACCTCCTCCATGCAGGAGCACATCTCAGCCCGTGGCCCCGACTCGGGGATCCAGCAGGACGCCGACCAGCTCTCTGACGTGTCCTGTGAGCCCAGCGCCTTGGAGAGCGCCCAGTGGTTCAAGAGCAAGAAGGGCTCCGGCCTGCTGCTGCCTGGCCAGCCGCCCCAGCTGTACCGCCAGGATGGGGGCGGCAGCACCTTCCTGGGCGTGGGCTGTGGCCTGAGCGTTTCCTCCCGCCCCACGGACTACGCCTTCCCCGAGGACGGCAAGCCCTCTGTGGAGGGCTCCCTCACGGCCGTGGTGGCCAGCGAGGGAGAGGCGCCCGGCAGGCAAAGCCCCCAGTTCCAGCCCCTGGCCAGCGTGTTCACCGAGATCGCCCGGCTCAAGGAGCAGAGCTCCCTGCGCAAGCCCTTCCAAGCCAAGAGCAAGGCGGAGCCCAAGCCCCGCATTGACCCTCCGCCCCTCATCACCTCGGTGGCCCATCCCGGGGCCAAGTCGGTGCCCCCCAAGCCAGCAGTGGGCAGGACCTTCCCACCACTGTCCTCCCTGCGCCGCTCCCCCATCAGCCACGAGGGGTCCATCTCCTCGAGCAGAGCTCCCTGCGCAAGCCCTTCCAAGCCAAGAGCAAGGCGGAGCCCAAGCCCCGCATTGACCCTCCGCCCCTCATCACCTCGGTGGCCCATCCCGGGGCCAAGTCGGTGCCCCCCAAGCCAGCAGTGGGCAGGACCTTCCCACCACTGTCCTCCCTGCGCCGCTCCCCCATCAGCCACGAGGGGTCCATCTCCTCCTCGGCCATGTCGCCCAGCTTCTCGCCCTCCCTGTCCCCGCTGGCTGCCCGCTCCCCTGTGGTGTCGCCCTTTGGCGTCTCCCAGGGGCCCTCGGCCTCCGTCATCAGCGCTGAGCACTCGCTGGAGCTCCCTGAGGAAGCAGAGCTGAGGATTTAGCCCCAGGTGCCCGTGGACTCGCTGCCTCTCCTGCCTGTCTCTGCAGAGTGGGCTGGAAGGGCGGGACTGGCCCCCCCAGGCTGCTTGGTCCTCAAATCCCAGCAGGTTGCTGGTTCTGGTCCCTCCATGTGGGCCGCCGGATGCACTGCTCATTTCAGCGCCCCACGGGCTGGGCTGCTTGTGGTGGCAGGGCCCCATGACCCCCCCGGGCTGGTGTTCTGGGACACACGCCGGCCCCTCCGCTGGGTCGGCCTGTATGCTCATGGGTGTTTGCTGCATGGAGGGTGGCGGAGTGGAGCCTTGTCACCCCGGTGCTGGAGGGAGCCTGGCCCAGCACCCCAGACGTGCCCAGGGACAGAGCTTGCTCCCTCTGCTCATCAGCTCTACCTTGTAGGCTCATCTATAGAGTAGATCCTGTTCCCTGCCCAGGTCTAGAATTCCCACTGGCTGACTGGCCCAGAATAGGGGCAGGACTAGTTCCCCGCAGGCCTGTCATGACACGGGGGGACCTGCTCCCCGCAGGCCTGTCAGCCCCGGGACACGGGGGGACCTGCTCCCCGCAGGCCCGTCAGCCCCGGGACACGGGGGGACCTGCTCCCCGCAGGCCCGTCAGCCCCGGGACACGGGGGGACCTGCTCCCCGCAGGCCCGTCAGCCCCGGGACACGGGGGGACCTGCTCCCCGCAGGCCCGTCAGCCCCGGGACACGGGGGGACCTGCTCCCCGCAGGCCCGTCAGCCCCGGGACACGGGGGGACCTGCTCCCCGCAGGCCCGTCAGCCCCGGGACACGGGGGGACCTGCTCCCCGCAGGCCCGTCAGCCCCGGGACACGGGGGGACCTGCTCCCCGCAGAGGGAGGGACCCTGTTCCCTGCAGCCCCGTCCAGACCAGGGAGGAGCCACGTTCCCTGCAGGCCCGTCTGGCACCAGGGCAGAGCCAGCCCCCATGTCCCACAGGCCAGGAACTGCCCAGTTCGTTGATGCCGTTTTGTGCTGCTGACGGGGCATGTACACGCCTCAGCCCCGCCCATGACTGAGCAGGCACAGGGCAGATGGAGAACGCCCCCACTGCACTTTTTCTGGCT